CTGGGGCAAGCATGTTGGGGTTGAACTGGTTCTTGCAGTCTGTTGTCTGTAGTTTCTTCATCTCAGACCCTCCTGACTGCTGCATGCTTCTCATCTGTGAGGTTGTCAGGACCAGAGCTCTATTGATTTCCCACCTCTTCTCATCATAGGAAGCACCGGAGAGCACGGGACCGATCCAGGTCCTCCTCCTCCTCTTCCCAGTCATCTCACTCCTATAAAGCAGAAGAGTACCCTGAGGAGCCAGAGGAGAGAGAGGAGAGCACCACGGGCTTTGACAAATCAAGACTGGGGACCAAAGACTTCATGGGTCCAAGTGAAAGAGGAGGCGGCAGGGCTAGGGGAACCTTTGTAAGACCCGTCCCCCTCTCTCTAAGCCCCTGTTCCCACCAATTCTGAGTATGTTAAATCAGAATACGGTTTTGTTGCCTCTGGAATAAGCAGTCTACTCTGGAGACCCAGATTATTTAGTTTTCTCCATCCATGATTCCTCAGACTCCATTTTTAGTTATTTTTTTATTCATAACCACTTAGAAATCCTTTCACAGCTTCCCATCTCAGATCTTCCTCCCTTACCTTGAATTCTGTTAGTGGGGAGACCCTCAGACCATGTTTACCCTCTGGGCTGTAGACTTGGGATGAGCAGAAAGGGAATGACTAGAAACCCGTTGAACTGCATGTGACTGACGGCTGTCCATTCAGTGCCAGGAAAGCACTTGAGCAGAATGAAAACTTTTCCTATTCCTGACATGGACCTTTGTTCCCCCCTCATTTATTACCACAGCAATTTCGAGCCAGAGGGAGAGGCTGGGGCAGAGGCAACTACTCCGGTAACAACAACAACAACAGCAACAATGATTTTCAAAAGAGAAACCGGGAAGAGGAATGGGATCCAGAGTACACACCCAAAAGCAAGAAGTACTACTTGGTACGTGTCTGGAGCTAACCAGAAAGGGCCAGAAGGCCCTTGGCACACATAGTAGCTGATTCCAAATTGTGATTAAATTTGTGTGCAGGCATATTGCACTAGAGATGTTAGGCAATATAGTGCTGTTCTCTAGAGAGATAAGTCATTCTTGGCTCTGGTAGGATTTGTCATCTAAGATGTTTATGGATTCCAGGACAAAGAAATTTCCTCTTGCCATTTTAGTCTATGAACTTGTACTACTCACTCAACTCCAGCCTCTGTCACTCCCTATTGCGAGATTAACAGAAAAAACAAGCTCCAGACCTCTTTAGGAGAGTCTGTCTCAAGAATGATATGTCACTGGGGCTTCTCACATTTACGCTTTGAGTCATTCCCATGCTCTTCTGGGTCTCTCTCAAGTAGGGGCCTTTCTGAGTTAAGCAGGTGTGGCTGAGTGCTGTTGCCAAGGTAAACGTGCAGCTGAGTCTCCATCACCCACCAGAATGGCTGGCATGGGTTTGCATTGTCAGTTGCACAGCTTTGAAATAGGTTTTTGGGTGGATGACTGCATGGCTCCTCTTACTAGTTGTGCTGGAAGTTGCTTTGAGGCTTCTGGAGAGCCATTTATCTATAGGGACGCCTAGTTGGCTGGGCCCAGGATAGGTACTATAGTTGGATCGAACTGAGGAGGGAAAGATTAAAGATTACACAAAGCCCCTCCCTTGCTTCTGTTTGCCACCTGAAGAAGCATTGCCAGCCTGGTTTTTTAGTGTGGTTGCACACATAGCTTTGGACAGACCCAGCTGGCACTCAGCTAAGAGTGCCTCCAGAAGCCTAAGACCCTAGCTTACGTGGGTAAGATGGTTTAAGAAGCAATGGGACAGGCAGATGAAGTAAAGACTTCTGGCTTTCAAATGCTTTGTCATTCATTCTTTCATTGGATCCCTCTTTCTATATCAGAGCAGGGATTGAGATACAGGTTAAGAGTTTGCCCTGCTCTGGCACAGTGCCTTCATGCGTACAACTAAAGATGGGGAGGCTAGGGGATGGGGGTGTGGCTCAAGTGACAGAACTTGGAATGCCAGAAGTTCAAATCCCCAGAAGGGAGAGGAGACATGGGAGACTGGGGGTGGAAAGGGTTGTAAAGTGCTAGAACCCTAGCTGAGTCTTCTCCTTTTCTTAACTAACAACTAACCCAGTTCAGATGTAGTTTGATATTTAGGTGTGATTGGCTTTCTCACATTCATCCTTTGAGAGATGATGTACTAAATAATAGGGAATTACTTAAGGTTCTACCTCTTGTTTCTTCATTTACATAGTGGGGAGGTGATAATGGTAGGGTAGATAAAAGGATTAAATGAGATAATTCCTGAGTGTTTTCTTGCTGAGTGAAGGTTTTTTTATTGTCAGTGTTACAGTGCCTTCTTGGGAGAGAATGTATAGAGCACCCCACTGATAATGTCTTGGATCTGGGCCAGTGGCAGTTTTGGAGTGGGTGATAGGAGAGAGGCAAAAAAGGAGGAAAAGACTGTTTAGGTACCGGGTTCTTGCAGGGAAAGACACATTTGAGTGGGTGTAGAGAAGAGAGTTCTGGTGCTGATGGCAATTTCCTTTCAGCATGATGACCGAGAAGGTGAAGGCAGTGACAAGTGGGTGAGCCGTGGCCGTGGCCGAGGAGCCTTCCCTCGGGGGCGGGGCCGGTTCATGTTCCGGAAATCCAGTACCAGCCCCAAATGGGCCCATGACAAGTTCAGTGGGGAGGAAGGAGAGATTGAAGACGATGAGAGTGGGACAGAGAACCGAGAAGAGAAGGACAGTTTACAGCCTGCAACTGAGTAGGAGCATCTCTTGGGAGCCCTTGCCCAGGGGAGAGAGGTGCTGGGAGAGGCTGGTGAGGAGCCTGAGAAGATTCTGAAAATCCTACCCCACCCCCGACCAGCCATGCAGAATCCTACTTCAGCGGAAAACAACCCTGGCTCTGCATCCCACTGGACAGAGGAGGCCCATGCAGAGCCTGGGGTCAGGCCCAGCTCTGGACCAGAATACCACACATTGGGCTCTAGCTGTTTCTCATTTGTTATTGGTGTGGGGGCTGGGGTAAGGGAGGGAGAGCAATGCTGATGCTTGGATTTTGGTGTGTTCTCTATTAAAAACCAACAGTTTTGTTTAATTTCATTTGGAGCTAAGAGGACTAATTTGATGATTTTCAGTCTCTTCTCCCCTGTCCTGATTTTAAAAGCCCTTGGTTTTTTGGGGTTTTTTTTTTTTTTTTTTTTTTGGTTATTGTTTTGTTTTTTCCTTTTTTTTCCTGTTAGGGATATGTAGTATTAGCAGAAAGATTTAATTTGGGCAACTTTGATTCTTACGAGAAAAGCATGTGAATAAACATTGAAGTGTTCACCTCAGTTTGGGACCAAACTGCTTGGACCTTTGTAAAAACCAGTTTTGTATGTCGAGGAGGAGTTTAAGGCCTTTCTGACCACCTTGTGTTCCCCTTTCTGCACGGCCATGTATCAATTGGAGTTGCTCCTAACCACTCCCACGCACCCCTGCTCCTGTATTTTCTGATTTCTTCTGGGCTGGGTTTCCCATTCTCCACCAGCAGCTCCAGTATCCCAAACTTTCTAGTCCTGCTGATTCTCAGCAACAGGGGTGGAAACTGGAGGGCAGTTTCTGGTCTGTTTTCTAAGAAACTTCTGAATTCTATTATCTTTACAAATATAAGATGAGAAAATAATTTTTTCAATATTTTTTATTAATCTTTTTATAAAATGAAAAGAAACTCCTATGATCGATTAAGGAAGGTGGTTATGGCTGGGTGGTTTGTGGGGTTGTGTGTGTGTTTTTTTTTTTGTTTTCTCTTTTTAACCTTAAGCTTTAAATTGAAACATTCTCAGATGTTTGGGGGGAAAACATCCTCTTAAAATGGGTCTTTGTGCTTGCCTTCTGGGGAGGCGGTCCTGAGCAGGTGAACCATATGGCATTTGTGCATATGTTATATGCGGACTGCACCCTCCTCTTCCCCCCAACCTTTACTCTTGGGTTATTGTGCTTTCCCCTTACTTTGCTACATTTCTATAGTTAAGTTGGTTTTACTTGAACAATTCATGTTCAGGGGAAAAAGAAAAACACCCTTAAAATTTGTTTCAACTCCTCCTGCAAATAAAAACAATAAATGAAGTGGCAGATGTAACTGGACTGTGTTCATTGTTCCCTGGTGGGTGGGTGGGTGTCTTTGGGGTTAGGTACCTCATCTCCCACAGCAGTTTCAGGACACTTGAAAGGTAAAAGGACCTTAAGGGCTGTGCCCAGAGGGCTGCTCAGATGGGTCCTTTTGTTCCCCAATCTGGTGTTCCCTGAGAGGAACTTCAGCCATCTCTGCCCCACTTGTCTTTGCTGCATCCTGTGCTTTGGACACCCCTGAGAACCACATTTTTTTTCATTACAGTGTCATGAGTAAGGACTTTGGCTTCCTCCGTGGTGGGGCAGGGGTCAAGGGCTGTGGTTAACAGCCCTTTCAGGAAAATTACCTGAAACTGAACCTAGCCCAATTGGGGCTGGTTGATAGGTGGGCCCAGATCTTCACACACTTCCCATCTCTGGGCTTGCTTGACTGTAAGTTCATAAAGTTCCTTCATCCTTCCCCCCAAGGAGGATCTATAGTAGTTTCTGAAACCCAACTAGGGGCCTCTAAGACAAAAGTTTTTCCTTCCTCTATGGAAGGGAGGGTGAAGATAGGTAAATTTGCCACAAGGTTTGAAGTGTACCAGCAGTGGCTTTTGGGAACTAGCCACCTCCATCCAGGGCCCGCTTAGAGCGGGCTTGGGGCACCCCACCCTGGTATGTACCTCTCTCCACCTTTCCCTGCAGCTAGAAACTTGCTAGTGTAAATGGGGATAGGAGCCTCTTGGCCAAGGCTGGGAGAAGGGAGGGGCAGCTAGACTAGAATCTAGGTGGGTGGGAAAAAGCCAGTGAGGGAGCTGTGACCCCAGCACTGGCAGAGACCCTGGAGTCCTGGACGCAGGACTGGAGCTGAACCTGTTGGTCCGGGCCACCCCCTCTCCCACGCCCACTCCCAGCACCTGGAGCCTGACCTATGGCTCGTGTCTCCGCCTCCTTGGCTCCACAGTCCCACCCAACCCGTGCCCGGTCCGGGGCCACCAGTCGGACCGGCCAGGCTCTGGAGGACGCCTCGGAAGCCATGGGTATGTGCCCAGGGTTTAGGGTGGTTCTGTGTAACCGCGTGGAGCGGTTAAAATCATCACACCCCACTCTCCCGCTGTCCTGTATGTGGAGTCTGGGGTCCATCTGGGGACGTACCGCCAAGGCCAGTCTCCAGCTCCGGCTGGGCCTTTCTGAGCCGCGCCCTCGCCCGCAGAGGTCCTGGTCCTGGACGGATATCAAGCGCAGAAGGAGGACGAGCTGAGTCTGGCGCCTGGAGACGTGGTCCGGCAGGTGCGCAAGGGGCCCGCACGCGGCTGGCTGCGGGGAGAGCTGAGGGGCAGCTGTGGCCTCTTCCCCAAGCGCATGGTGCAGGTGAGGTTAGCGGGAACGGCCTGGGAGTGTCGGCGTGCGCCGTGGGGAAGCTGAGAGCCTCGCCCCATGCGCTTTCTCCCAGGTGATTCCAGAGGCCCTGCGGGCCACCGAGGAGCCGCGGAGACCGCGCTATGCGCGCCGCCGAGGTAAACCCGGCCAGCCGCCGGCGATGGGACAGCGGCGGGTGCGCGCAGCCCGCGCTGCGCAGCAATGGGCGCGGCTCTGGGAGGGGCCGTAAGGCCGCTTTGCGCTGTGATTGGTTCTGAGTACAATGCTCCGCCCGGGGGCGTGGCCTAGATGTACTAAAGGGCTGGTTCAAGGCCTGCCTCTTCCCCCAGCTCCTTGGACTCCGGTGCCGGGCTTAAGCGGCTTCATTCTTCTCCGACCCAGGTCACCCCGCCAAATCTCCGGGTCCCCAAAGATGGTGCAAAGTGAACTTCAACTACAATCCGGAGCAGGCGGACGAGCTGAAGCTGCAAGCTGGGGAGATTGTGGAAGTGATAAAGGAGGTGAGAGGGTGAGGTGATGAGAGGGTTTGGGGAGATGATACGGGTGCTCAATAGAGAGGAGAGTTGAGTGAAGTGAGGGTGGGGGCTCTGGGAATGATGAGGGGCGCAGAGAAGGGGAAGTGGAAGTGGGAGAGGAGGGAGTTTTGGGCAGAGCCGAGGGTACAAGATTTCTAGAGAACCTTGGGGCAGAGCCAGATGCCCCTGCGTACTCCCCCCTCCCCAGATTGAGGACGGCTGGTGGCTGGGGAAGAAGAACGGGCAGCTGGGAGCCTTCCCATCCAACTTTGTGGAGTTGCTGGACAGTGGGCCCCCAAGTGAGACCTCGACCTTGTGACCCCCTCCTGAGACCAGACTCTGCAGTCTCCCATGACCTTCCCAGTGGCATAAGCCTGTGATCCACACATCCTGACCCTCTGACCTCTTTGCCCCTCCCATGACCTAACTGAATTAGCACCCTCCTAACCTCACTGTCCCCCACCAGGCCTTGGTAACCCAGACATGCCTTCAACCAGCCCTGGTCCCCAGCAGCATCCTAAGGTAAATCGAGTCAGAGTGAGCACAGAGGTGGTGAGTTCTTGGTGTGGGGGGGGCGGGGGGGCTCATCTTGTTCTTCCTTGCCCCACCCCCACTAGCTGAGCAGCCTGACTTATGACAGACCTCCAGACTACCTGACGACAGGTGAGTACCACTCTGAAGTCACTCTGACTCTGGGGAGGGGGAACCAGCTAAGCTGATGGAGGGGGGTGGTTGGCTGCAGTGGACTGACCTTTCTCTCAGTCTCCTGCCCTGAGACCTGCAGGGTCCTGTTTGACTACCAACCTGAGGCCCCAGATGAGTTGGCGCTGCGGAGAGGAGATGTGGTGAAAATTCTGAGGAAGGTGTGAGGGACTGCTGGGAGAGGCCAGGGAAACGGGGTACAGAAGAGATGGACCCAGGGGAGAAAAGCTTCAGGTAGGATTGGCTTAACTCCCCACCGGCATGTTTCTCTCTCAGACCACAGAGGACAAGGGCTGGTGGGAAGGAGAGTGTCAAGGCAGAAGAGGAGTTTTTCCAGACAACTTTGTGCTGCCACCACCTCCAGTGAGTATAGAACTGAATATTCAGGTTCATAGCACTCATAAACATAGAGGGGCATGGGCCAGGCTCCCTATAAGCAGCTAGGAGCAATGGTACTCTGTAGACCAGCTTGAGGGACACCCCCAAGTGAGGGTGGACCTCGATATGTGGGAACTCCTCTGAATTCTGACACCACTTTTCTGTCTAGATCAAGAAGCTGGTCCCACGGAAAATGATATCTCGGGAATCAGGTGGGTGCTGGAGAGCCTGGGGTTGGGAAGAGCTCTGTGGGAGACCCATCAAAATCCAGAAACACCTGCTGTTCCACAATGCTCCAGTATCCATAGGATTCCCCACATAGCTATCACATTCTTTATGGATAGACCTAGGTATCTGAATCCATGAGACATGTGTTCATATGTCTTACAGGTATGCCAGGGAATATTCATGTGGGCATTCGTGTCAAGTTTCTGTGTGGACATGTTTCCTTTTCTCTTGGCTGTCTACCTGGGAATGGAATTGCTAGGTCATATGATAGTTCTTTGTTTGAGGAACCACTGGACTCTTTCCCAAACTGGCTGCACCATTTTATATTCCCATCAGCAGTGGATGAGGGTTCTAATTCCTCCACATTCACACACAAAGCACTCGTTAGTCTTTTATAGAACTATCCTAGTGGATACGCAGGTTTCTCAATGTGTTTCTGATTTCCCTTTCCCTGAAGGCCAATGATATTGCGCATCTTGTGTTTATTGGCTCTTTGGACATCTTCTAGAGAAATAATCTGTTTACATCCTTTGTCCATTTTTTTCATTGGGTTATTTATCTTTTTGCTATTGGCTTACAGAAGTTCTTTATATATTTTATTTGGCAGTGCTGGGGTTTGAACTCAGGTTTTGTGCTTGCCAGGCAGGGGCTCTACCACTTGAGCCACGCTCCCTGCCCTTTGCTTCTACTTTTGTCAGTAGCCAGAGGAACCAACCCCAGAGGCCATGTCAGCCCTCCTGAAGAAAGGTGGACAAGGGTGGTATTGCTACATGGTAACTGAGCTTCATGTCTGTGGTGAACTGAGCAAGCAGAGCCTGGGACCCCTGTTCCGTATCACAGGCCCCAGACTCGGGAATCTTAGAGCAAAGCTACCCGTATGCCACCTTTCTGGCCTCAGTTTCCCTCTTTTTTTGTACATACTTCTCCTACCCTTTTTTTTTCTTTTGGTGGTATTGGGATTTGAACTCCAGACCTCATGCTTGCTAGGCAGACACTCTATCACTTGAGCTATTCCACCAGCCCTTTTTGTGTTGGATATTTTCAAGATAGGGTCTCACAAACTATTTGCCTGGGGTTGGCTTTGAACCGCCATCTTCCTGATCTCTGTCTCCAAAGTAGCTAGGATTACAGGCATGAGCCACTGGTGTCTGACTTTCTACCCTCTTTTAAGTCCAACAGTGTAGGAAAATTGTGTCCTAAGCAGCATATAATTGCTCTCTAGTGGGAGGGCCTACAGAGTACCTGATCAACCAGGCAACAAGAAGCAGAAGTCAAGGTTAACATATACTGAACTTGACCACCTGCCAAGCCGTCGCTAAGTGCCTCACATGTGTTAAGTCCCTCCAGAATCATAACAGATGGGTGCCATTGTCCATATCTCATAAATGAGGAGAGTGAGACACAGAGAGAGGTTATTTGTTGACGTTTTCTTAAAATAGCATGGAGTGGAGCTGGAGTTCAAAGCTTGGCATCTGAATGTAGCATCCCTGCCCTACTATGATATACTGTCAGTGGACTTGTGTACATATCTGTGTGTACTTGTGTATATGAGTAAATGTCAGCATTTGTGTAATGCCAGAGTGGTTGTTTGTGTGTCTACAGATATGAATGTCACTGTGGGTGACATACGTTCATTTAAATATCACCTCAGTGTAGCCTTCTCTGACCACCCCATTTAAAGTTATATACTGTAGCTGGCCACAATGGTACATGTCTCCAATCCCCAGATACTTGGGAGGCTAAGGAAGGAGGAGCTTGCCTGAGTCCAGGAGTTTGAGAGCAGTTTGGGCAACACAGTGAGACCTGGCTCAAAAAAAAAAAAAAAAATTGTATAATCCCTTGCATATTTTTCAGTGACACTTAGAAAGTCTTTAACGTAAATATTTTACTTCTTCTGTTTACTTCCTCTTCCCCAATGAACATAAGCCCACTCCAGCTATTGTGGGAAGAACATACCATGGGCAGGGTGGTACCCAAAGCCAGGATGGAGGCAGACACAGCAGTGAGGGTACAGTATGGGTGATTGATCCAGAGCACTTAGTGGGGGAGGAAGTGACAAGTGATTGAATTCAGGATGTGCTTTGATGGCAGAGTGGACAGGATTTGTTGAGTGTTTGGATGTGCAGCATAAGGAAATAAGTAAAGTCAAGGATAACTCCTTAGCAGGTCATGGTGGTACACGCTTGTAATTCTAGCCACTTAGGATGTAGAGATAGGAGGATCTCAAATTCAAGGCCAGCTTGGGCACAAAGGTAGTGAGACTGTCTCAAAGAGGAAATGAAACCATTCAAGTGGTAGAATGTTTGCCTAGTATGCGTGAGGCCTTGGGTTCAATCCCCAGTACTACATGAAGGGTAAAAAAAAGGATGACACCTCATTTTCTCATTGGAGTGAAGGGATGAGCCAGGAACCCTGCAAAAGGGCAGGTTCAAGGGGGGCAGGAAGTGGGAAGCAAGAGCTTGGTTTTGGATGCCAAGTGTGTGATGCTGGTGGCTTGCCAAGTGAAACTAATAAGAGGACAATGGGACATAGTACAGAGTTCATGGAGGAGGCAGGAGCTAGAGATGGAAGTTTGGGAGTCATTGGCTTAATGGTAAACCCACAGAATGGGTGAGATCTCTTAGGGTGTAAATGAGAGAAAACAGAGAAGTTCAAGGGGAATGGGATGGGGAAGGCTGTTTTTATGGTCCGGGAGAAATGAGGTCTGAACTAGGGAAGCAGCCATGGGCACCAAGCCGGGATAGGTCTTAGAAGAGCAGATAAAAACCTGGCAGGATCTGGAACTGTCTCTTGCATATAGTCCTTCCTGTTAGCTATCTGAACTCCCACAGTCCCTAGCCCAGGTGGCACAAGAGTGGGCAGCTTCCCAAGGTCAGATGGGACTCCTCTCCTGCCCGTAGTTCCTGTGCCCAGCACAAGACAGGGCCAGTGATTGAGGTGGATGGATGAGTAAATGAGCAAATGTTTCACTCCTCTTTGTCCTCCCAGCTCCCATTAAGGAACACAAAAAAACGGTGCCCAAAACATCCCTCCCCACTGTCAAGAAGCTGGTGACAGCTGCCTCTGGGCCCAACAAAGCCAAGTAAGGAGCAGAGAGGAGGCTGGGGGTAGAAGGAGAGCACGGAGGAAATGCCGCTCCTTGCCCCTCCCAGGGTTGATGGGGAAATGTTCTAGGGTACCTCGGACACCCAACGGGGATGGTCCAAAGCGCCCCTCTCGAGACTCAGGTAAGGGCTTCCTTGCTTCAGTGGGAGGGGGATGGGGGACAGATAGGATGGTGTGCTGTGGGACAGAGGGGAGAGACAGGGCTCATAGTGAACTTGGGGGCCTGAGGTTCCACTCTCATAGGCACCAATGGCAGCTTCCTCAGTGGGGGTCTGGGACAACCTGGCAGAAAGCGATCCAGAGCCCAGGCTCCCTGGCAACGCTCTGCATCCAGTCAGGTGAGAGGGCATTCTGGGCAGAGGCTGGTTCCCAGAGGTGTGGTGTGCAAGGGGAACCAGAAGGGACCCACTCTTCAAGGTATCGAGCCTTCAATTGAGGCCTTGCCCCCATCACCACAGGAGAAGGAGCAGAGCAGCCTCGCAAAGGCTCTTTCTACAAATAAAGCCTCTACTGTGGAAAAGACTGCCACCTCAGTGAAGACTCCACTTCCAGATAAGGCCCCCAGCCCAGAGAAGATCCCACCTCCTGACAAAGTTTCCAACCCAGAGAAGACTCCAGCTCTGGACAAGGCCTCAACTTCAGAGAGGGTCTTTTCTGTGGATGAGGCCCCCACCCTAGCAACACCACCTAAGGTTGAAGCCCTTGACCCAAAGTTGGTCCCTTCAGGAGATAAAGCCCCCACCCTAGAAAAGGTCTTGGCCCCAGAGCAGGTTCTTTCTGAAGACATCTCCCCCAGAGACAACACTCAATGCCAGCAATTCTCTCTGGATGAAACCCTGCAAAGGGCCAAGTCCCAAGAGAAGGTAGCCATGCTGGAGGAGCCCTCACTGGTGCCTAACTCCTCAGAGTGCTGCATATTCACAAGCAAACAGGGGGACAGCTCCCCACTTGAGTCTGAGTCGAAGGCAGAGCTGAGGTCCTTGCCTGCCCTGGAGAAGGCCAGATCCCAGACAGACACCACCACCTTCCTGGAGGAGGCACATGTGAAAGATGAGACCACCCCAAAAGATGAGGCACATCCCAAAGAACAACTGCCCTCCAAAGAGGTGGCTTCCAAAAAGCAGGTATTCCTAGAAAAGGAGGTAGCTGCCAAAGAGCAGGTGCCCCTGAAAGCGGAAGCCCTCACTCCCCAAACCCCACACTCTATGGAACCAACTTCAGACCCCCAAGAGACTCCCACTCTTCATTCCCTGGCCCGGCAAATCTTGGAAAGCCAGAATGACGGAGTGGACGTAATGCAACTGAAGGAAGAGGTGGCGTCTCTAAGGAGCGAGCTAGAGCTGTTGGAGCTGCAGCTGAAGTAAGTGGCAGGGCATGGGGTGGAAGGAAGGGTGTCTCCCCCCTTCCCTTCTCCCACCCGCCATCACCTTGGATTCCTGTCTGCAGGCAGAAGATGAGTGACATCTGGGAGGAGCTGAAGAGGGAGAGGGAGAAGCGCCAGTCGCTGGAGGTGGGTAGGGTGCGGACCCAGGTGGGAGGGCAGTGGCTGGGGGCCCGGCCCTGACACCTTCTTCCCGAATAGGCTCTGATGATGCAGAGGAACCAGAAGTCGCCGTCGCTGGGTTCCAAACATGCGCAGACGCAGACGCAGACGCAGTGAGGGCGGGCTGGGCGGAACCTTGGTCCCAGGACGTCTGGCTCGGGCCACCCTGGTCAGTGCACAACAGCTTTGGGAAATGCAAGAAAGTAAACTGCCTGGACACTCCCAACGGCCTGGTCCGTGCGGGGTGGGGCCTGGCGCGCGCCCTCCGCATTCCTGGCGGTCTCTCCCGGTCACATCTGGCCAACATGTGGCTCCCATTACGGTTCCCAAGGCCTGCGCACTGCTATTTATATCCACCGGATGGTGGGGGGCGGGGTGGAGGGTGTCTCCTTCAGACGCTGGACACAGTGAGCAGGAGGGGCCCAGGCTAGCCGATTCCGGATTCCAGCTGTGTGCAGGGCAGGGGCCAGACGGGCCTTCTCTGTGTCCCACCCCTCCCAGGTAGCCTCACTGCTGCCTTCAAGGACTCCCGTCCAATGGTCTGAACACACCTGAGCCCAGAGGTGAACTACACCGCTCGGCAGTTACACAGGGGCTAATAGCACCTTAGTGTCAAGGTCAGGTCCCCAGGCCCCTTGTGTGTGATTGCAATGGTGCCGAGTCCAGCGCACAGTGAGGACAGGTACTGGGATTAGGCGTTTGCCAGTAAGAAATGCATTTGTGAAAAATACGTGTGATGTTTGTCCTGTGTGCGAGACTGGCCAGGGGTTAAGTGTGGTGTGGGCCTCTGAAGCAAGCACAAGCGTGTGTGTCCTGTGAGCAGAGAGGAGTTGCAACCTGGAACTGGTACTGAGTAAGAGTCAGCCCTGGGGCCCACTGCATGGAAGCAGCCTGGGGACCACGGAGAGCAGGGGCAACAGAGGCAGACACTGAGTGAACTGAGAATGCAGCTTTCATTGGTCACTTCATGGTTCCCAAGGGAGAGAAGGTGGGGACCTTGCATCCTCCCAGTCCCACCTGGGAAGGGTGCCTTTCAGAAGGTGACAGTCCATGCCCAATATAGCACCAGGGGAAATTGGGGGTGGAGAGCATCCGAAGGTTCTGGGGCAGCTCTGGGCTCAGTTGCATGTCCAGTACCCAAGAGCCCCTTTGCAGCAGAGCTGGGCGTCAGTAATAGTGCATGCGGCCCAGTGTGCCTGTGCCGGTGGGGCTGGGCCCCAGCGTGCCAGTGCCCAGCAGGTCCGGCTGCCCAGTGCGCCAAATCTCCCTAAGGATCCGCTCCCGCTCCTCCAGCCGCTGGGCACGCTCCAGTTCCTCCGCGGACGTGAAGACATTGACGCTGAGGGGCCCATCGGGCTCCGTGGACAGCTCGGCGCCGGGCAGTGTGTCGTCGGGGCCCAGCCGTGTCACCGTGTCTTCGTCTTCGTCATCGTCATCATCGTCTTCGGGCCCCAGGGTGCTGCTGCGTGGGTCCCGGCGCAGGACAGGGCCCCGGGGCCGCGGGCGGGGGGCGCAGGAGATGCTGATGACCAGTAGACACAAGGTCAGCAGTAGGCCGAAGCAGACGCCCAGCACGAAGTAGAGGCCAAAGCTCTCGGGATTAGCTGGGGGCAGAGGGAATAGGTTTGTCATCCCATCTCCAAAAGACGACGTTGGAGGCAAGGGCAGTGGGGATCAGACATCAGGCAATAGGACAGTGAGGGTGGGGGGGGCGGGAAGAGGTGACTGGCCAGGAGAGAGTTATAATGGCAGAGGCTCGGAGTGGGGAGCGAAAGGGTGGTGGGAGGGGAGGGTCCATGCCCCCAAGGCTTCCGCCACCCGCCCTCACCGCGGATGTGTGCGTAGGCCGCCAGGCTGTTGCTGAGCAGTTCCATGTCCCTACGCGGGGCATCCATGCTGCTCGGTGGGGGCAGCTCCCCTGTCCGCCTACAAGATCAGCAAGGTCAGATCGTTCTCCCCAGCCCAGAGCTGGCCCCAATTCGCTCAGGCAGGCCCTCTCCATGGAGGAGCGGCCCCAGGCTCCACCCTGGAGAGAGCGGTTCCTGAACTAAGTTGCAGATCCGGGCCCTGTTCGGGGAAATCCTTCCTCTGGGCGCCCGACGACCCTCCATCCCCGGGAGCTGCGAAGCTGGCCGCAGAAGGCTCCGCCCCCTTGTGGGGGTCCCAAAAGCAGGCCGGATCTCGGCGTCCCGGAGCGAGCGCGATGGAGGACAGAGGCCACCTCCGTGCTCCATCCCACCCGCCCGCCCGCGGGGCCCGGAGACCCGGCTCACTCACCGTCAGCACCCCGCTTCCCGGCTGCGCGGGCCCGGTGTCCGTCCGGGCGGCCGCATACACCCGGGGTCCGGCCGCTTCCGCCCCGTCCGGTCCAGTCCGCCCTGCTCGGTCCTAGCGGCAGCGGCGCGGCCCGACTCGGGCGGGTGGACCAGCCGGCGGAAAGTTTCCTCGGAGGAAAGAGGAGGGGCGGGGCGGGGGCTGGGGGAGGCGGGAGGAAGAGCGGCAGAGGAAGGGGAGAGGAGGGAGCGGCCGTGGCTCCCCCACAGGAAGCCGCTGGGGAGGCCTCTTGCAGGGGCCGCCCCCAGGCTACTACTACTAACGACAATATTGCTATTAGTTATTAACGCTCCCTTCTGCCGAGGTGCCCCGCGATGGGCTCACCCCTGTACATGTCCTTGAGTCCTAAAACTAGAACGTGGCTATCATTATCCCCACTTCACAGATGAAGTAAACTGAGTTATTGGATAAACTGAGAGATTGAGTAACTTTGCCAGTCGGAATTTGAACTCAGCTCTTTGGCCCTAGAGTTCCAGCACAAAACCACTTACCCTGTACCTTGCTCCTCCTCTCAGGAGCCCCAGGCTCCCATCCCCAGGGAAGGCTGCCCCTCCTCCCAGCCCTTCCCAGACTCAATCACTCTCCGAGGGAGGGTCTGTCAGCCCTTCCTCCTGGGGCCCAGGCCTGAGTGTGTCCAGCTGGTCAGCTCTGCTTGGGTCACGCAGGGTTAATTATTGTTGGACTCGGGCGGGTGAGCCAGGGCTTGCAGACCCTGGCTGAGGCCTCTGGAGAGCAGGGGATACCGCAGCTCCTCTGCACAGAGCCCTGGGGCTTCTTGCTTTCTCTCTGGCTAGACCTGCCCAGCCTCACACGTGCATTTCCACCTGAGCTCAGGGCTTGTGTGCAATGTGCTGATTCCCATGTGCAGCTGGGGACTTCTTTCTGCCCAGTTTCCCCTCACGACCCTCACCCCCTATGGCTTCTCCCTGTGCAGGAGCTGGGGTGAGAGGGAGGCCTTCTTGGCGGGAGCCTTAGGGAGGAGGAGGGAAGGAAGGGGGACAGGAAATTGCAGACATAGCTGAAGGTGCTGCTTGAGGTCTGTGGGCCAGAGACCCCCTCCCTGTCCAGGCTACAGACCCCCCAACTCCCCCAGTCCTGAGACTGGGTTCAAGCAGAGGACAGATCTAGGTGGGGAAGGGACTGGGCTGACTCCCACCTGGGTGTCTTTGTGACTGTTTAGTCTGTTTTGTGAGCATGTGGAGGTATTTCTGCCCACATCTGTGTAGTCTGTTTGCTGTGGTACTGCTTGAGTATTTGTGTGGGGGTGGGTGCAGCCCCCACACTGAGCACACATGACTGGGCCTAGGAATAGGGATTTAGCAGTAAAGAGAACAGAGACAGCACTTGTCCTCAAGGAGCTGACACTAAACTGGAGAGCTGGTGCAGGGACAGGGACAGGGTAATCTGGAGGCGGCTCTCACAGGAACAGCTGAGATAAGAGATGAATCCTGAGGAGGGGGCAGCCATGTCAAGATCTGCGGGAAAGTGTCCAGGCAGAAACAGGAAAAGAGCCGGCACTAGTGGCTCATGTCTGTCTGTAATCCTATCTACTCAGGGGGAGAGATCCAGAGGATCGTGGTTCAAAGTCAGCCCCGGGCAAATAGTTCTTGAGACTCTATCTCAAAAAAAAAAAAAAAAAAAATCTGGTGGAGTGGCTTAAGTGGTAAAAGTGCCTGCCTAGCAAGTGTGAGGCCCTGAGTTCAAACCCCCCAAAAAAATTAAAAAGGAAACTGGGTAGGAGTGCTTGGAACGTGAGGAGAGTGATTGACCACCGATGGGATCCTGCTAACGAGCTTGGATTTGATTGTAAATGTAGTGAGGAGCCCCTGTCCCATGCCACACTTTGGAAAAAACTCTGTGGTGGCTCAGTGGGGGATGGGCCACAGCAGGGCAAGAATGGAAACAGAGCAGTGAGTAGGATGGTAGCCCTCTGGGCAAGCCATGGCCAGGGTTGTATGAGGGTGACAGTTGAAGGTCATCTTATGAAGGGAGTTCCTGTGTGGAGGTGGACATGAGAGAAAGAGGAATTTACCCTTGATCTTGGCCCTGAGCACCCAGGAAAGTCTATGTAAAGAAGTGGGTGGGTTTCTTGGGGGGAGGAGTAGTTTTATTTTACATATGTTGGATTTGAGTGTCCATTAGCTGGCTGGAGGTTTCAGAGAGGCAGGTGGAATTCTCAGCTCCCCAAATACCATTTCCAGCAAAGAAACACAATAGGGGGTTAAAACCCCAGGGAGTGAGTCACCCAGGACAAGGGAACTTCCTGAGCCCTGAATTCCCACATGGTGGGGGGGGGGGTCTCCTGATGGAGGAGGCCACAAAGGGAGACCAGTGAGGTGAGAGAAACCCATGACCAGTGGTGGTCTATCTTGCTGAAAGGTAAAGAAGAGCCTACAATCCAAACCCCAGCTTGGGTAATACTGCAGTACTGTCAGTGACCTTGGTGGGTTTCTTTGGGCTCTTGTTTCTTCAAAGCATGTGTGTGACTGGCAGATTACTCAGATGATGTCATTTGTGCACTGTATTGCCGGGAGTGTGTCGATGTCTTTAATGCCTGCCATCCACGTGAATATTGGTGGTGTGGCTGTGTTTATAACCTGTGCATCGAGGGGTATGCACCTCAGTTTGTGTGGCTCATTGAGGGTTGGTATTCATCTCTGTACTTGTGGTGTGAGGTTTGGGATTTGTTTCTGTCAAGCTGTTTCCTTGCATCTCAGGGCCGTGCATATCTCTGTATCTGCCTGCAGGTAAAGGTGTGTCTGTGTCTCCCTTAGGCGTGTGTGATGTGAATGTTTGGAGGGGGCCAGGTGTGACTCAGCCTTGGAGAAGCAGGTGTCAATGCTGAAACAAGATGAGGTTTAAGATGGTTGCTGGTCCCAACCCAGAGTGCTGCCTTCTCCCAGGGAGCCATGTAGCTAACCATGAGAATTGGCAGTATTGCCTTGTAGAACTAACTATAAGAAGGGAAGGGCTTGCTGGGTATGGGTGACTCATATCTGTAATCCTAGCTCCTCTAGAGGCATTGATCAGGAGGATTGCAGTTTGAAGCCAGCCTGGACAAATAGTTTAAGAAAGAGCCTATCTAGAAAATATCCAACACAAAACAGATAGAGGAGTGGCTCAAGTGGTAGAGTGCCTGCCTAGCAAGCGTGAGGCCCTGGGTTCAAATTCCATACCAAGAAAAAAAAAAAGGGAAGAGCTACTCCTAGAGCCCTGAGGAAGGTACCCGAAGTCTTTGCCTGATGTCGCCACCTGCCTCCCTGCTTTCCTACCTACCTCTTCCCAGTTTGCCAGCCTGTCTGTAGGTCTGCCCAGCCACCTGCTTCCATTTTGTGGCTGAGGATCTCTGCATGGCTGGCTGACTGGCATCCTGCCTATCTACCTGTTGATCTCCCTGCCTGTCTGCCCAGGACTCCTCTGCTGGCTTTCCACCTGTCCCCCTGCTGGCCCATCTCTACCCTCCCATCTGTCTGTGAGAACAGGGATATGTCACCCGGGATGGCACAGAATGCTCCTAAGAGGAACCAGAAAAGACAGGTCTTGATAGGAGGCTGGGGGCTGAGACCCCAGAGGCTGGCAGGGGTCTTGTGGGTCCTGGTATATTCAGGGACCAGTGCAAAACTACTGTAGGGTCTGTCCCCTCCTCCTGTGGCCATCCTGGGGGACACTGGGGCCTCTCTCCCCACAGGGTCAGGTGTAATTAATGACTCTCACTTGACAGAGGAGGAAGTGAGGCTCACATTGCTGTATGTGCAGTCATGTGGCAGGGTGTGGATTTGAACTTGAGAGCCCATTCTGACAGTTTGCCACAGGGCAGCTCTTGGTCATAGTTCTCCAACCCATCAGACCCAAAACTGCCTTTCGCAATGCTTCCTTACTGCTTTCATGCCCCAGAAATGAAACTTCTGGCTAATGTGCCAACTTGTACATCTAATTAAAAAATGTACCATGCCCTTTTTGTCCTATGATATAAAAGCAATAAAAAGTAGTGATAAGTACTTACATGTTGGCTCATTGCTGGGAAGGCAGCAACTGTGTGCAGATGGACATTGGAACACTGAGCCACCACAATGTGTCACTGTGAAATGAACTCTTGGTAAAGTTCTGAACAAAATAAAGTACAAACTTCCCCCACTTGGACTGGGGGGAGTAGCTCAAGTAAGGCCCTGCGTTCAATCCCCAGTACTGTCAAAAATAAGAGCCAGGCACCAGTGGCTCACACCTGTAATCTTAGGTACTCAGGAGGCAGAGGTCAGGAGAATCGTGGTTTGAAGCCAGCCCAGGCAAATAGTTTATGAGACACTAGCTCGAAAAACCCTTCACAGAAAAAGGGCTGGAGGAGTGGCTCAAGGTGAGGTCCCCAAGTTCAAACCCCAGTACTGCAAAAATAAGTAAAAACTTTCCCCAACTTTACACAGTACATTCCCAGAAAATTCAGCACAGATCCAATTTGTGTTTATGTGCAAAATGAAGTTAGATTCTTGAATCTGGTAGTAAGTGTATTTTTCACTCACATTGTACATGACATGATGTTGACTCTGCCTGCCTTGTAGGTTGTCTGAGGTCCCTGGCTCCCACTCTCTCTAATTGCTAATGGAGTCCCCAAGTAGTTGTGACTAGTGCTCCCTACTCCCCACAAGGATACAAAAAAGATTTCTGCTACCATTCATGGAGCCCAACATTTGGTAGGGAAGATAGGTTGTTAGGCTGTGATGAACATGAAGAATAGGTAGAGTAAGGGGCTCCAGAAGACCAGGTGGACAGGGAAGGGAAGACCCTGAGGAGGTGGCATTCTGAGCAGAGTCCTGGTTGACCTGAGGGAAGGAACCATGCAATTATCAGGGCAAGAGCCTTCCAGAAAACGTAGCCTTGGGAGGTAGAAGCTTGCTGGGTTTAGGGTTGGGAGACAGTGTCTATCTGAGCGGAGCTGGTGAGGGTGATGGCTGAGAAGTTAGAAGCCTCTAGTGCTGAGCCTTGCAGTTGTGAGCAGGAAAGGGACAAGAATCTGTCTTAGAAGGCTCACTTTGGCTGCCAGGTATTGCCTGGAGTAGAGGTGGGGTGGAGGTGGGAGGGGAAGAGTGGGAGGAAGGAAACCAGGAGGTGAAAATGGCGATTGGGTGGCTACAGTGGGGCTTCAAGAAGTGGTCAGATAAGATAGGGCAGCGGTGGCAGGAATAGCATGGGAGAGACAGACACAAGGCTAACTTGGCTTTGGAGCCTGACTCCATAGCCTCACTTCCTTTCCCACTTCAGAGAGCTCTCTGAGGACACTTTAGACCAGGGTAGCCAGAAAAGGATCGAAACTTCCTAGTTCTCTGGTTTGACATCTCGGGATCACACCCACTTTCTGGTACTTTCCCTTTCTTCCTTTGCATCCAGGGCTCCCGATAAAAACTTATGAAGGGTGAGACATGCCAGTCCAGATCAGTAAGTCAGGTCAGTTCCAAGGGCTGAGGACACAAGTGAGCAAAACAGAGTCCCTACAACCCAGAACACGCAGGTACCCAGGAGGTAACTGCACGCTGAGCAGAGGCTTAATGGGGTGGAGGGCAGGGTGAGGTTGCGAATGGAGAGCAGGTCCGGGAACAGCAGCTGGCAGTAGTGGGCTGGGAGCAAGGAGGACCCTTCGGGCAGTGTATCCAGGGGAGTTAGGATCCAGGTCAAACATAGTGGGTGAAACTGTCCAGACCCTGGGCTGCTAGGGCTGTAGCCATGGGACTGTGGGGTAGAGGTAAGGCTGAAGGGCCTAGGGCTGGGGTCCTGTCCTGGAACAATGGCGGGGAGTCACACCCTCCTGCATTAGACCTGCTTTCGTGTCTGGTCCTGAATGAGGGTCTGTGAGGTGCTGAGTTGCTGGGAGAGGGCTGGCCTGCCTCTAGCTTCACTACTGTGAAGCATAATCTGCAGTCTAGATTTCGGCAACGGAAGGAAAGAAGGAAGGAAGGCAACCTCTGGGCTTCCCATGGAGGGAGGATGGTGCAGGAAAGGCCTGGCCTGGTCTCTCCTCACCCCAGCTCCTTGGACAGCATGTGGGCCTGGCAGTCAGTCTCCTTAGGTTCCCTACCCCACCAGGAGCTTTATAGAGAGTAGCTCTGCTCTCCACCTACAGTGGCTCTAGGACCCTTCTGCCTGCACTGGCCAGGTGCTGGACTTTGTCAAGCAGGGAGCTCCCACTGGGGCACTCAGCTGGAGGCAGGACAACAGGTCTGGGAGAATGAACCCTCCTGCTCAGGACAGTGAGATGGAGATGGGGGTACCTTACAGCAGGGCTCTGAGCCCCAGGACCTGCCTGGCTGGGATGGGAAAGAATGGGCAGGCTAGGGCCAGAGCTGGAGGTGCCTAGTGGGGGCAAGAACGATAGACACTACAGGTCACGGTGGCTCCAGATCAGGAAGTTTTATTGCTGACATGCAGGAAGAGTCCCCATGTAGTACAAAAATACGTCTTTATACAAACTTTTTGTGACTTTTTCCATTTTGTTTTCTTTACAATAGGACTTCTCTCAGTGTATGACACCAGTGAAGGCAGACCCAACCTCCTCTCCCTCTGCTTTGCCAGAATGCCATCAGACATAGGGTTAACTTCAGAAGCAACCAGGCTGTTTGACAGGGCTCTGCAGACCTGAGGGTATTGCTTTGAAAAGGAGGAGAACACCACATGTGAAAAGCAGGCCTGAGGGACCAGGCAGGCTGCTGGGCAGGGACTATGCCCAGGTGGGCCTTGGCCCGGCCTCAGAGCCTCACTGGAGGGCAGTCACAGGGCTGGGAGCCCGGGCCAACTGCATTTCTGCTCCCTTAGGAGACTTTATCAAATAAATACAGAAAAGAGGCCTCCCTACCCCTGGCTCTCAGTGGCTGGACTACAGGCAGAGCCAGGTGCTCAGAGAGGAAGTGCTGGGCTCAGGCAGGCTCCCACAGATCCACTGAGGCACACGAGGCGCCCAAGTGCTGGATTGGGGGCATGGGGAAGAAGGGGCGTAGGCAGCCCTGCTACTGCTGGCAAGAGGTGGCCCCATTTTTTCCAGATGGGGAAACTGAGGCACAAGGAAGTTTGGGAACTTGCCCAAGGTCACTCACAGTGAGTCAGCTTTGGGGAAGGGGGTGGGGCACAGCTAACACTCTGGGAAACTTGGTCACCTTCCTACTGGGACAGACAGGAAGGCCCTTGGGCTGCCTGGAGGGGACCCTCAATCTTTCCAAGGGAAATGGGGATGGGTCTTTACTTGGCACTGGGCTGGGCCAAGTCCAGTGAGGGGAAAGGGAAGAAGAGGGCATTCTGCATTCTGGTGAGAACAACATTTCTGGCAAGACGGGCATCCACTTCAAAATCTCGGCTCAAAAGGGCAGCAGGGCTGTTCTCAAGCCAGGCAGGGTAGGGCACCCCCTCAATCCCTACAATACTCCCTCAAGTCTCCAATCCCCATGAAGGCCCTGGCCGAGGTCTGCCAGGGGAGACACCACATCTACTCTGAGGAGAGGGCAGGAGGAGATGTCCCCACCATGAGTTCTCTAAACACAGGGTAGGGGAGCAAGAGCACGCAAGCAGATCCCGACCCAGACAGGTTCAGAGCACTCCTGCCCAGCTTGCCACTGCTCCCTTCACATTGCATGCCCACGTTACCTGGGTACCATGTGAAGGATGGAGAAGGAAGAGGGCTAACGTGCATGTGCAGCACCTCAGAGACGCTACTGAAACAGAAAGAGCCAAGTCTAGAAAGGCTTCCCATCACCGGAAACAGAGAGGGCCTGGTGGGCCAGGAGTGAACAGAAGCCAACAAAGGGGGCTCCTCTGTGCCTGGAGGTGAGGAAGAAGCCCAATGTAGGTTGTCCAGCCAGGCTGGGGATAAGAGTGGCTCCAGGCTGAGCCACCTAGAGATGGAAGAGAAGTTGGTTTCAGTAAAAAAATAAATATATTTGAACTCGGCATAAGGTGAGGTGAAGATGTTCCAAAGCTTGGACTGAGGGCGGGGGTCAGAAGGGAAGGATGACATGGACTACGGGAGAGGTCTGGAGAGGGGATGGGGGGGCGTTTATTTGGGAAGCCAGCAGCGAGCTGCACTTTCAGCTTATTTGGACTGTGGGGGGCAGGCAACTGGCTACACCAGGGCCTGAGTAGGTGGGTGGGCTCCCTCCTCCTCCTCCTGTCACTCAGTCCAGAGACAGCATGGTTAAAGAGACAGAGGTAGATTAAAATGTCATGATTAAAAGCAGATTAGTTATCTAGGCTTCTCAGATTAAAAAACCAAACAATCAAGCAATCATTCCAAAAGGTAGCTTTGTGTACCTCTGCTGACCTCATGTGTGACCTGGGCTGTCCCTGTACTGCCCTGTCCCTGTTGCAGCCTGGAAGAGTCCAGCCATACGGGGCCCAGCCCCGACAGCTGGGCCTGGGGCTAGGGGCCAGAAGAGGTGGTATCCGGGCTGGGGCCCTGGTGGGGGCCACTACTTCCGCAGGTAGCGCTGCGCCAGGATGGCTGTGTCCAGGGAGGTCATGGGCTGTGCGTCATGGCCCAGCCGTCGCACTGGTGGCACGCTGCCGAACTGCCGCTTAGGCACCCAGCTCCGGGCCTCGTGGATTGAGCTCTTCTCCTCGGCCAGTAGCAGCTGCTGCCGCATGTAGTTCTCAAACTCATATTGGGAGCATTCCTCTGTCACCTTCGCCTGCAAGGTTGAGGGAAGGAGATGAAGACAAAGGAGCTGAGAGCCAGGGCAGCCTGGCTCCCCCCACACACCATGCTTCAACATCTGGCTAGATGCTAAGCATGGATCCCTGAAGGCCTCCAGCCAACTGGCACTCAGCTTGTTGTCCACCATAAATGTCACTGCAGTGGGCTCCAGCAGCAGCACAGACTCATGGTCTGACCCAGATCTCTCCCTTCCTAACTCTGACCTTGGGAGAGGTCACATGAACATTCTCATCTGTGAGGAGGACGGGAGTCTCCCCTCACAAAGGTTCTCATACCTGGCAGGGAAATGCATGCCAAGAGGTAAGAGTGGGGCCTGGGGTGCTGGGCACCAGGTGACCCCAAGCTGAGCTCCCTGCCACACAGGCAGAAACTGCAGTGGTAGGTTCCTGTGCTAATCAGCAGAAAGAAAAACAGGTCTTTGGAATCAGACTTTGGGTCAAAGCTTAACTCCACTACTTCCAAGCTGTGTGACTTTGGGGAAATCATTTCACTTCCCTGAACCTCAGGTTCCTCCTTTGTAACCTGAAAATAAAAACTCAGGCCACAGAGACCACAGGAGGACTAGATGAGATATACTGGGGACTCACACTCAATGTATGCAAGTAACGACTATTTTAGTTGCCTTACAGCCCTGGAAAGGGTGGGAGCTGATATAGGACTGTAGCTCTTTCTTTTCAAGAGCCAGGAAGCTCTGCTGTGGTCCCAAGCACAGCCCCTCTTGGTCCTGCCTGCCCACTGTTTGCTGGTGAGTTCCAAGGTAGGCTACAGAGGGAAGGTCTTTGCAACACCTCAGGCCCTGCAGCTCTTCCAGGAGCCTACCCTCCAGAGGGAGCCCTAAAATCATCCACCTAGCTGAGCTGCCTAGTAATCAGGTCTCTGCCCCCACCCCAGGCACTTTCTCCAGTGCAGGGAATGGGAAGGAAAGAAAACAGGAATAAATGAATCATCTGAAAAATGAAAAGCAGTAAGGGTAAGAGAGAACCCAGTGAGTCAGGGGGCAGAGAAATATGACTTCAGCAGGAAGAGGAAGCTGAGAGAGGGCCAGACAGGGTCTCCCCACCGTGGAACCTCACAGTAGCTGATCCCCACCTCAACCGCCTATATTGGGCTGTGGGACTTTCAGCTGAAATGTGAACAAGGCAGGTCCCAGAGAGCTGACATTCCAAGTGCTGGAGAAGAAGGCCCAGGAGGCCTGTGACTGCAAGGAGCTGGCTGCTTGCCTGTGCCCTTGACCTTCCTCCCATCCCCACTTACCTCCTGGGAGCTGTCTGCATTGCTCATTTGGTCATCGATGTCAGGAACCACTTGCAAAGGCCCACTTAGAGATGACAGGGATTGCCTGCAGGAGAGGCAGAGAAGTCAGGCTGACTCTAAGCATCCCTGGAGGGGTAGGGTCCCTACTGTGCCACACTTGGCTGGAATCAGACAGCCCTGGCTTGGGGTCCAGCCATCTTCTACCTAACATTAGAGACTCTTTCTCTAAGCCTCTGTCTTCTTGACCAATGAAGGAGATTTTTTTCCTTGGATGCTGTGGTGATAACTGGGTGAGGCAATGCCCACTGTGCAGTTGGCCTGGATGGGCACACAGTAAATACCCAAACTTTGCCTGCCCTCTCCCAATCCTGCTCTCAGGAAAACCTGGATATCTAACTGCCTGGCAAAGAAACAGGCAGACAGTGGTTACTTTTCTGCATAGGATGGCAGAGCATGTGAGCTCCCAGCCTGCGTTTAGCCTAGTATACTACTTACCATGACGCAATGATAGCACTGAGGGCCTCCAGGACATCAGTGGCAGCCAGGCGTTGCTGGGGATCAAGGACCAGCAGTTTCCGGATGAGACACACAGTATTCTCAGAAACCCGCCCATCCCTGGCAAGGGAGAGGAAGAGGGTAAGGGCTCAACAAGGTGGCATGGGGCTGGTCTCCTACCCAGAGCTCCAGGCTCCCTGTGCTGTCTCCCCATGAAAACCCAGGGGGTGGTCCGTCCCCTCCTGGAAGGCAGGACTCACTCAGGGATGGTGTACTCAGCAGCCTTGATCTTGCGGAAGAGTTCCTGTGGTATGCTGTCGTAGAAGGGGAACTGGCCATAGAGCATGGTAAACAGCACAACGCCTAGCGCCCACATGTCACTTGGCTTGCCCCTGTATGGCCGGCCTGGAGGCAGAAGATACACACTCAGCGAGAAGAAACAGCTATGGGATGCCCCTGCTGTGGGCCCTACAGCCTGAAATCTCACCAGTGGGTCCCTCCACCCATCACCTCCTTCTCAAGTCCCTTTTATCTCCTTCTTCCTAGAGCAAGAGCAAGTGTGATGTAGCCCCCTGAGCTTCTGGCAAGTTCACTCTCCTCAGGCTCCCAAGGACATGCAGGAGGGGCAGTGCTTGGTTGTGTACATCCTGTCTACCTGTTCTGCTCTGTGGTACTGGTACTACCTGCCCTGCCAGACTGCAGCCCCTAGGAGCTGTGCACCCAGCAGGACCACCATGACATTTGTGGCACAAATACGTAACTGGCTCTGAACAAGACAGTTACTCCTAGCCCTATCCCTCTCCCCTCATCTGACCTGGTTCTTTCAAAGCACTTGTCACCATCTGCCAGGGTGCCCCCTCCTTTGTCTCTGTCACTTCCTACCTCCCTTGCTAGAAGGCAAGTTCTCCAATGCAGGCACCCAGCATGAACTTGAACATGTCTCCACCAATGATCATTGAAATTTTACCCCCATGAGGCTGGGTTCCTGGGTTACCTTGCGTGGATTTGTTATAAACCAATCTGGCTCTGGCTCTTGTATGACCCCCTTGCCAAGTGATGTCCTGCACCACCTCAGGGAGTCCCCGCTAGTAAGGAGGACCTCACCAAATGTGGCCCCTTGACCTTGGACCTCTCAGCCCCCCATGAGCTGAATAAATCTTTATTTTTCATAAACCACCCAGTCTCTAACATTCAGCTATACAACAAAATTGACTGAGACACTGTAAGAGAGAGGGGAGCTCCTTCTTTGGAAGGAACAGTTGCTTAACTGTTCTTCAAACTTGATGACAGTGAAGTGCTGGGATGTCACCTACCCAAGCCTCCTGTAACCCTTTTTGCAGGTACTGCAAAAGTCCTGCTTTTCCCCAATATTCAGGGCAGCCCATCCATCTACCCCCTCAGCAACAGAACATCCCAACAGGCCAGCTACTATCTGATCCTACCCCCCCGACCTTCCCAAAGCCAATTGCAAGGATCACTAGAGTCTTCCTTAGCCTTGTCCTGCCAGTCCCTGTGATGTACCTCTGGCTGTACATGGAGGCCACCTTCGCCTGGCACTGCCAAAGCCTTGAGAAGAGCTGGTCCCCAACCAGAGTCTAGACAATCCCACACAACACCTTAAGGGGCTCTGTGACTCCAATCCCAGGCTCAGAGCATGACATTATTCTCCCTGGCACTTGGGAAGCCCTGGCGGAAAAGGAAGGTGTTCTGGTCTTGTGCTTGGACTCTCCAGTGGAAGCCACAGCTTGGGGGAGTCCTCCAAGGGGAACAAATATTTGTGGCAAGTCACAGCAGCCTGCTCTCAGGATTTCATATGAACTGGGAGAAGGAGGGTTCTGCTGCTGCAAGGAGTGTGTTCTAGTGTGGTGGTGATCCTGAGCCTGAATCTTCCTTGTCCAAGGATGGCATAAGCCCCTGGATCCTAAGAGACCAGGACTCCAATTGGGCAGAGGACAAAGAAGCAAACAGTCCAGGCTGGAACAGAAGCATGGGCCTTAGTGGGAAGTTGCCCTGGGATTGAGCCTCAGTTTTCAGGTTTACTATCAGCAATGATTTTGGATAAGACATATCATCTCCCTGAGTCTTTTTTTTTTTTATCTACAAAAAAGGGACTTAAGATATTTCCCTTACAGGGTAGTTATATAGTTTGTTTGTTTCATGTATTTATTTTTGGTAGGGGGTTTAAATAAGGTCTTGCTATGTCCTGGGACTCTTGAATCTCCTGCCTCAACCTCCTGAGTGCTAGGATAACATGTCATACCACCAAGCCTGGCTCCTTCTTTCTTTCATTTTTATAAAACTACATCTACTTTATTTTTCATACTAAGTTTCTAGTTCTTCAAATTGCAGCTCAAATGCCATTTCCCAGGAAAGTCCTACAATGCCTTCCTATGCTCTCTTGGAAATCCTATCCCTTTCCCTCCTAGCTCTAACCTCATGCATGCATGTGACCAAGGCGTCTTCCTCCTCAACTAGACCACAGATTTTGTGCAGGGAAGGACAGTACTGATTTAGGCCACTGTGAAGCTCCAGCACCTAGTCCACGGCCTGTCCATAGGTACCATCTATTCAAGGAATGCACTGCTGCAGAGCCTGACTGTTGCAGCCTGGGAGCCCATGCATACCACTGAGCACGTCAGGACTGATGTAGGCAGGGCTCCCCCTCTGGTCTTTCAGCAGGTCTCCCTCACTCACGAGATGCTTCCCAAGGCAGAAGTTGGTGATGGTTATGCGATGGGTCCTGGGAATGGAAGCAGGATGTAAAACCAACCTTGCTGTCAACAGCCATGTGCACCAGATGAGAACCAGGTATCCCTGCTGGGCCAACCCCTACCTTCCACCCAGGGAGTAGAGGAATTAGCCCAAATCCTTTTGTGGCCACTTGATAAGAGTCCAGCAGGCTTCTGAGGCACTCTAACTTCCTGTACTGCAAAGGCTTCCTGAGTCTGCCTCCTGGATGAATATGGGTGCAATATTCTGAGCTCAGAGCTCAGAACATCTTTCAGAGATTTCCCCCACAGCCTCACATGATATTCCAGATTGGGAATGACCCAGAAATTTAGTTTGATCCCCTCATGCACACGTTTGAAAAGGAAGTCCAGCAGAGGTGAGGGACCTTAACCTTCCCCCACTGCACAATGGCCAGTGGGCAGCCCGAGTCTCCCTGTAAACTAAGTGCTCCATCTCTCTTTTATCCAGCCCGCAGCCAGTGCAGGGGAGGAAACTGATGGCACCATGCATGTCCCCTAGGGAGGGGGTCCACCCACCAGGGCCAGAACTCACTCAGAGATTCTGGTCCTATGGGTGTTTTCTACATGCCCTGGTGGAATGTGGAAGCTGGTCCCATGCTGTGTTCTCCAGATTGAGATAAACCCCCTACTAACAGCACAGCCTATCCTTTCTGGGGGGATCCAGGTCTTCTCAAGGAGCCCAGGTCCCTGGTGCTGACATCCAATCAGGCCTGTGTCATACCAGGACTTCTCTGTCCCAAGAGTCCTTAGAGGCCAAAATGACAGGAGGGGAGGATGGCAGCACAGTTTTCACAGTGCAGCCAGAGCAACGGGACACCCAAATTTTGTCAGGAGGCACTGACATGACAGCTGCTGTAACGCTACAGTTACATAAATGAGACAATGTTCCTGATAGTTTTTTTGTTTTGTTTTGTGGTACTAGTGCCTTGTGCACACTAGGTAAGTGCTTTTCCACTGAGCTACATCCCCAGACCTATTCCCAACAATTTTCACCCCTGCAGTGTGACTGACACGGTGCAGCTTCCTGATATCTCTCACCTGGAGCAGCAGGGCCTGGCTGGGAGCTGGTAACACTGGCATCAAGTGAGGAAGGTGGTCCCATGGGAGGACCAGGTAGGGATAGAGGGTTACTCAGTCAAGGAGGGCCCTTGGCACAGTGTGTACTCCTGCATGCCTCAGGGAGCTCAGAAGGCAGGCAGGTGGGGAGGGTTCATTTTAGAGGAAACAATCAACCTGTCAGGCTCAGACAATACACAGTGCTAGCTCTGGAGTCCACCCCTGGGTGGCACTTCTGTCCCCTTTTGCCAATTCACTTTGTCATTATCAGTTAAGCACTTAGTAAGAGAGTAGATTGTTTTCCTTTACTGGGGTTTGAACTCAGCCTCATGCTTGCTAAGCAGGTGCTCTACCACTTGACTCACACTTCAGCCCTTTTTACTTTAGTTATTTTTCAAATTGGAGATCTTTTTTATACCTGAGCTGGCTTGAACTGTGATCCTTCTACTTATGCCTCTCACATAGCTGGGATGATAGGCGCATGCCACTGCATCCAGCTTTTTTGTTAAGATATGGTTTCACACACTTTTTGCCTAGCTTGGCCTTGAACTAAGACCCTCCCAATCTCAGCCTTGCCGAGTAGCTGGCTAAGCCAGCTGCATCGGCCTACACTGTCTTTATTTACCCCTCACAAAAGCCTATGAGGGAGATTTTCTCACAACTCCATTCAAAGGGTACAATTAAGGCACAGTAGTGAAGGGACTTGCCAAAGATCAAATGGTTAGCAAGCAGTGGAACAGGATCCAAGCTTAGGTCTGTGGGACCCACAGCCTGCACTGAGTTGACGGTGCCCAGCCCCTGAATGACTTTTCCTTCTGTTCCATCCAAGCTGACTCATCCCTTGTCTTATGCTTCATTCTCTGTCCTGACCTAGAAAACCAAACTTCCTCCTCTCTGAGAGCTGTGGGGCAGGTGGCTCTAAGCTCAGAGCCTTTTTAGGAAGCTCACAATGTGAGTGGCAGAAAGAGCCCCCAGAGAGGGGGCTTACACCACAGCTGGAGTAGGCCGGTTGGATGGCTCTTTCCAAGAAGCCCTTAGGGGATCGTCAGTGAGGAAGGTGGCCTCGCATCTAACTGCACTGGCCCAGGCCAGGTGGCTGGGCATGGAGCTGGGGGATGGCAGCAACAGAAGCTCCACAAGGGCTTCTCACTAGAATAGTCTCAGGGTGGGGCAGAGGACCAGCTCAGAGGTACAAAGTGTGTGGCTAAGGGTGGATTTCCCCAGGAGCTGCATCCAAGGTGCTGAGGGCCCTTCCCAGAGCTATCTCAGGGAATTCTGTTTTTGCAGGGCTTGGTGTAAAACAAAGGCCAGTCTGTCCTCTGCATTCCCAATGGAAACGAGGACCACAGCTCTCCCACAGGCATTCTACAGAAATCTGCCCAGTGGCCCTGGGGCAGCCGCTAGAGCCAGAGAGTGCAAAGGTCTCAGCAAGGGTCATGTGCATGGCCAGAAGCAAGATGCTCCAGCTCTGAGTCCCCCAAATCACTGCCCCAGATACAGGACTGCTCAGGACTCTGGTCTGGAAAGTTTCCAAAGAGCAGCTCTGTCCTTTCTATTCTGGCCATTGTAGCCACAAATGCATCCTGTGGTCTCTGAGGCTTATGACATTGGGATAGCTCAGGGAGGGGATAGTAGCCTAGGACTCAAATTTCTGGAGCCTAATCCTGGCTCTGCCATTTTCTTTCTATTCTTTGTTTTGTTTTTGGTGGTACTAAGGTTTGAATTCTGGGCCTTGTGCTTGCTAGCAGGTGCTCTACCACTTGAGCCACACTGCCAGCCCTGCCATTTTCTTGCCATGTGAATCTCTTGCTAACTATCAATTTCTTCATCTGTGAAACAATGCTTGACTGTCAGGATGGGGCTAGCTCTGCCAAGGTAAGAAGATGGTCCATGGAGGGCACTCAGTCCATGGCCTGCCATAGAGTAACTTGCTAATATCCTCTCATCTTCTTCCAGCTGGCATGCCAGGCAGAAGCTTCCAAGGGGAGATCCCAGGAAAGACACTGCCTTTGAGGTGGATGACAACAGGCCCTGGAGCACACATGCTGATGTGGCTAAGCTTGCAACTCAACTCTCCTGGCGGCCTTACAACGCTCTGCTGTGGCAGCTGCTCAGTTGCCAGTGGGCCTGGAGTCTCTCCCGTGGAAAGCAACACAGTCAGCCCTAGGACCTCCTAGGCAACGCTCCCCTGCCCTGCCACCACCGCCCATGTCACCTTGGTGGCACACAACTCTCCGGGAGTCCCAGACCCCTATCTGGTCCTGACTGGAAAGCAAGGGCAGTGAGGGGTGGAGAGGCAATGTGCGTCAGTAGGGGCTGCTCTGGGTGAGTCATGCCTCAGCTATGGCCCCTAGGCTACCACAGTGTTCTCCTTTTCTAGGAAGTGGTATGCAACTTGCCTACCCAAAAGGAAGGAGGAAGGAGAAGGAACCCACAGCCAGCCTCACATAACCCCACAAGAGGACTTTAAATTTTAGCCCTGTCCTCTCACCCTCTCACGGTTGGCAGGGCCAACTGTCCTTGCTGCTGCCTCAGAGATACTTCCCTCGGCTCTTGGCCTAGCTTGTCCGTCCTCCATCTCAGGCTGGCGTGAGGACCTGCAGGGTGGGCAGGAAGGGGCTGGAGCTCCTCTAGGTCGACTCCCAAATGAATAAAGGTGAAAGTGAGACCCTACAGGAGAGGATATGCCAAGGACACACTTGGCACATGTGGGCCTTTTGGCAGCACATCCTCCTGCCCCATTCCATGGCACCTGGTCCTCAAGTGAAAGGTGGCAGAACTCTTGTCTGCCCTGAGACACAGAAAAACAGATCATCAGATTAAGGAAGGCAGCTTCAATGCAGGGTCCTGAGGACCACATGATCACACAGCAGAGTGGCAACCGCTATGCTGACAGGCTGTAAGGTATGACCTAACTACACTCCCACCAGCAACAAAAACAGGCCCTGCATATTGGTATGTTTAACAGGCAAAAAGCCCCAACTGTGTTTTTCCTTACAACCTTCAAGATGTTCATTTGGAGCTGCTATGGAGGGCCTGAGCTGGAGAGGACATGGGCTCTGCAGCCAGATGGACTTAGGTGCTCAAAAAAATATGCCCTGTTTTTGTGAACAGTGGGCCTGCAGCCCAGAGCAGGACGGTGACTGGCTCAAGGTCCCACAGAGGGTCTGGGCACAGCAGAACTCAAATTTGTCTCTTGGTTTTTTTGAGACAGGGCCTTGATCTGTAGCCCAGGCTGGCCTTGAACTCATAATCCTCTTGCCTCAGCCTCCCAAGTTCTGGGATTACAGATGTGTACCCCCACACCAGTCTGCCAAGTCTGCTCTCTAAGACAACGTGCTCTCCATGACGCAGGGCTGAGGCAGCCAATGCTCTCCAACTCCAGCCCTTCTCTTTCAACTCAGAACAGGGCCTGGGAGGGAAATACCAGACTCTCACCATAGGTGTCCTCATCAGCTGCTCCACACACAGCAGGCCACACCTCCTGAGGGAAGCAAGTACATGGGCCTGTTCTCCTTTCTCTCAGCCACAGGATCCCCTAAGCACTAGAGGTGTGCTTAGGATGGGCTGAACCCCACTAGGCAGTTTCACATTCACTTATTTGTATCTCAGGTCAATCTTGCCAGGAAAATAGAATCATTTCCACTTCCATAGATGAAAAAATGGGAGCTCAAAGAAGTGCTAGTACCTCAAAACATGAAAGAATTCACTCAGTGAATAAACAAACAAACTCATAGTCTCTAAGTAAGATGCAGTGCTGGGATGTGAGCCAGGTCTGACCCCCCACATCCTGCTCCTTCTTCGCCCCTAACTCACTCAGCCAGATGGGGTTCAAGCAGCCATGGAATTTCCTGTGTCCTTTTCTCTTCCTATGGAGGGTGGCATGGTTCTCATCTCTTCATTGTTTTAGGCTGACAAATCTTCACTTATCCTTTGTAAATTGACTCAGCTGGCAGGCTTGCTGCCCCTCTGTGCACCCCCATCCCTCTGCACACTTGTCCTCAATACATGATACCTAACTTCTGGCCAACACACCATCAGATGGGGACTCCATGGGAGCTGGGAATGTGGGGTCAGTCTGACCGCTGAGGTGCACAGTACCTCCCAATGGTGTGTCAGGACTAAGACTGAGCTTCTTGGCACGGTGCCCTTGTCCCTTGCCCACAGGCCTACTTCCTTGCAGCTTCCTTTCCTCTGGCTGCTAAGGCTTTGGCCACTTTACAGGGTCAGTAGGATGAGGGCTCCTGGGTTGGTCTGATCATGTCGTGGAACAAATCACTACTGTGCCACTTCTGCTGTGAAGGTATGCTGCCTGCCATTTGTAAAGGGTAAGTGTGGAAAGTTCAGAAGAGGAGGTGAGAGAGGAGCCCTGTGAATTTAAGCTCCTAGTCTACCAAGCACCATATTCTCAAGTGGTGACAGACAGAATCTGTATCTCACCCTGAGCCCTGGGATTTTTTTTTTTTTTTTTTTTTTGGTATTGGGGCTTGAACTCAGTGCCTCATGCTTGCTAGGCAGGCCTCTACCACTTCAGCCACTGTGCCAGCCCTGAGCCCTGGGATTCTGGGCTCCTCTGAATCAGACTCCCCTAGGGATACTGGGTATCTGCAGCATACAGCCTCTCCCAACTCCAACATTATAGCACAAAAGTAACAGAATCTTACCTTTTATTGAGCACCATGTTCCCAAGCTTTAGGTCTCTGTGCACGATGTTTTTCTGAAAACCAATAGGCAACTCATTTGTACTTTGGAAGTGAGAGGTGAGATGAGGCCCAGTCTAGAAGATGTGGGCTCTCCAGGTGTCTGGGAAGTTGGGAATACCCTAAGATGTCTCTTAGGCCTCATTAAACATGCATCTGAAGAAGTAAGAAGTGGCCCAGTCTGTGTCCCACCTGGGACAGTTTCCTCAACTCCTTTTCCCCTCAGGGAAGCAACGGGGAAGCCTCTTTTCCCTTCCCTTCATCAACCATCCTATGGAAAGAAACCAAGCTTTAAACTGGAGCTGGGTGTCAGAGATGAGCTACCTTGATTAGATCATTAAGTACTCTAGGTTCAGTGCATAGAAGTTGTGTGCCTGCAAGAGGCTCAGCTGTCCTGTGCCTGCCCCCAAGATCACCAATCTTATAAAAAAAAAGCTCAGATGGACTGTGACCACCAGGTAGATACCTTGAAGTTGTCTCTGAGCTGGGAGGCTGATGAGAGATTACTATCTGGGACTCTACTAGGCTGCCCCATTGGCTCTCACTAGGAATGTGGCTAGAGCCTGTAGCACTGTGTCCCACTTGGACACTCCCAGCTCATGTCAGGGTGAGGGCAGAAAAGAGCTACTTACTGCTGAGCAGCATCAGGAAAGGTGGTTTTCTATGGCACTTGAGGCCCTGGAAGCTCTAGGGGCAGAGCACAAGGGAGCTGTGGTATGGCAGGGTTGGGCCTCACCTGGTGCAGGGCCTCCACCACACGGACCACATCATAGAAGATGACCACAGTCTCTCGCTCGCTAAGCCTCTTCTCTTTGATGACATAGTGCTGCAGATTGATGAGGTCAGCAGTCTTGTCGCTGAAGTCATGTGCACAGAGGCAGTCCAGGACAAGGCAGATGCGCTTCTTCATCTTCTTAACCATTCGGCTGGATTCTGTATCCTCAACAACTTCACAGGTACGGTCCTGGGGAATAAGGGGAGACTATGGCTTGGCTGTGTACCCAGCAGACCAAGGCCGAGGGGTGGGACTCTCTGGAGGTGTCTACTCAAACCAAGGAAAGCTAGAGCAAGCCTGTAGGTGCCGGCAGGGTAGAAGACTGTGGCTCAGGTCACCTGATGGGGTGGCACTCAGCATTGCTCAGCTTCCCATGTACCAAGTGCCAGGCCCAAGGGGTTGAAGTTAAAACGTCTCAGGTTAGGGGGTCATGCTTTGATCATACTACAAAGGACTGATCAGGCTGGGTATCCAAAGTCAAGTCGCCTTTTTAGCCCAGTGCAGAGCCTGGGGCATCCTCTTTCCATAGCACTCCCAGATTCCAGCTCCTACCAATGTCACTTCTGTCCAATGTCCAAGATGGTAGAAGTTAAAGACAGGTCAATCCTGGAAGTGCCAAAAGTCACACAGTGTTCTGTGTGTCCAAGACAATAGCTTTCCTCTTGGTTACAGTACTCCTGGAAAGTCACATAATTGTGGTTAAGAATATGGCTGTGGCTGTGGCTTCAGATGAATGGATCTGGTCAGTTTCCCCTCATGTCAGCTGTGGGACCTGGGGCAGTTTTCTTACCCTCTTTAAATCTCTGGTTCCTCATCTGTAAAAGGGAGTCAGCAATTTTCCCTGGTTGTTGAGAACTAAATGAGACAACCTCATCCAGTGCTCAGGGCTTGCTGAAGTTAGGGCTCAGGAGGTGGGTACGGCCGTCAACACTGCGCAGCAGTCCTAGACCACTCTGTGCTGCAGATGCGACTGGGAGACCTTGACAGTATCAGCTAGAGTCCCTTGGTCAGACTGCTGATGGCCTCTGGCGAACTCCTGAAGGACTGAATGGCCACATTTCTCCTTAAAATCACACCACTGATTTGCTTTCCCCCAAAGGCCACAGCTAGTGTCTGGTAAACAGATGATAGGTTAGAAGTCTTTTGTTTTTAATTCTTTTTAGTACTGGGGTTTGAACTCAGGGCCTACACCTTGAGTCACTCCCCCGGCCCTTTCTTGTGATGGGTTTTATCAAGATAGGAGTTCTCGAACTACTTGCCCAGGCTGGCTTCAAACCATGATCCTCCTGATCTCTGCCTCCTGAGTACCTAGGATTATAGGTATGAACCACTGTTGCCCAGCTTTTTTTGTTTTTCTGAGACAGGGTCTTATGTTGTAGTCCAGGCTGGCCTCCAACTTGCAATCTTCCTGCTTCCACCTCCTCAATGCTGGGGATCAGAGGTGTGTTTGTTTGTTTGAGACAGGTTCTACGTAGCCCAGGCTGTCCTGGAACTTGAAATGTAGCCCAGTGTGGCCTCAAACTCAAGATCCTTTTGTCTCTGCCTCCCAAGTGCTGGAATTACAGGCCTGTACCACTACATCCAGCTTGAAATACTTTTGAACAGTTAGGTTCTCTCATTCAAAAGAACATAAACCAAGGCCACGCATTTGAGGATGAAATCACAACTACTCTCAATCTGCTTTCATGTTTAAGGGAAACACTAAATTTTGAAGTTACCTAATAATACCCTGAGTTGTCTCTAATTGCAAATCTAAGAGTAAGACCTTGACAGGGTGTAGATACAGGCGTGGGAGACATTTTCCACTCATTTTATGTCAGAAAATCAAGCTGACAAGGAGTTTTTATTGCTTGCAATGGCAGTGATGAGTGTGTAACCACACACACGGTACCTTATGCATTCTTAATTATCCTCCTGAACACCAGAGAGGTAGTGCTGCTATCCTTCTCCCCATTGTACAGATGAGGAGTCTGAGGCTCAGAGACCTAAATGATTTGCTTGAGATCACAAAACAGGAGCTCAAGGACATTTGCTGAACAGATTGAAATGCCCAGGCAAGCAAAAATGCCCGGGTACCAAAACCAATTGTGGAGATCCATCTACAGGTGGCCCCAATGCCAGGTCTTTCTAACTGCCCTCCCTTCCACCCCCGCCTGGCCACTTCCTGATGATGCAGCTGGAAAAAGCCCAGGAGTCTAAATCAACTTCCTGCTTTCCTTTTTATTCCAAAAAGCAGCCCTTCAAAGAAAACATGGTTGCTGTAAGATGTCAGCTGTGTGCATGCCTGCTAGGCTGAGATCACTGCTGGGGCACTACAGCAGCTAGCATTGCCCTAGCCTGACCTCCAGCAGGGCAGGACACTGCTGGGGCAGGGAGGGGGGTGTCACAGGACAATGTAGTCCCACAAGCACCAGCTGAGGTGGATTGTGCAGGGGACAGGCCAGGTCACTCACCTGGAAGAGCCCGTGGTGGTGGACCACGCCATCCTGCGTGTGCAGCAGAGAGAGCAGAGAGTACTCAGTGTGCAGCAGCATCTTGCCCTGCCTCTCCTCTTGGCTCTCTATGCCTTGCTCGCCCCTCTCCTCAAGAGTAAGGATCTTCAGGGAAGCACAAAAAGGAAAGCAAAAGGTCAGATGTCTTCCTTTCCACAGCAGAATGGCTTAAACAGAGGAAGCAGGCTCACTTTCTACCACGTGACAGCCACACACGAGTCTCTCTCTCTCTCTCTCTCACACACACACACACACACACACACACACACACAGAGTGAAGCTGTTTTTCTTCATGTGATGGCCATGTAATTTATGCACAGATAAAGCTTTTTAAGTCAGGAGTTGTTCTGAGCCATGCTGTGAACCTGACTGCTTCACAAGAAGAAATGGAGCTACGCTTGCTCATGAGTGATGCAGGTGTGAAGGTGGGGGAGGGAGAAATGGGCTGCCAAGACAGGCCCTGGGTCCCCAGGGTCCCACCCTATGCCATGCTTACCTTTAATTGGTAGAAGTCATCTGTACCATCTTTCCTAGCCAAACACTGCACGATGCTCGGCACCGGTGAGTTGCCCAGACGTGGACCTATGGCACGGAGGGCAGCTGGCTTACTTTTCAGAAGCCCTGTCTAGTGTGACCCTATGTCACCCCATGGCCTTCTGATCAGATCTTCTCTTTAGTTCATGACCACTGGACTACCCCCCACCCTAAAGTTTCTTGGTGGAGCATTGTCACAGCCTCCCCTTCCTCCAAAATGTGTGCCTGAAATGCACCTGATTTTCACTAGCCCATTCTCAAAAAGAGGGACTTTTAATTCTGAGTAGATGCTGGAACTTCTAAGGGCATAAGAGGTCCCAAGATGCTGCCTGCCTCTCTGACTCAGTCATTCCGCTGCAAAAATCTGAACTTGAACAGACTTTCCTGGTGATCCTGACAGTGCCAGCCCTCTATGTGGAGACAAAGTGCTTGCTGTCCTGTGAAAGCATTATGCCTGAACTTTCAGAATAAAGATCAGATGTGTCACAGTGCTGCTGCTCTGAGCATACAGTCCAAATGCCTTCCTTTGGCCCCAAGGCCCACCTTTCTAACTGCCCGTGCCATCCCTTCCCCTGCCATACTATTGTGGGCTCTTAATTCCCACTCTTTACATGGCTGCTCCTTCTCACGCTTAGGTGTCACTTCCTCATAGACACTTTGCTTGGCTGCACTATCAACAGGCTCTTCTCACTTGAACACCACCTTGTTTACTTCCTTCAAGACATTAGCAGCACCAGTGATGATATTTTTTTCTTTCTTTTTTCTTTTTGGTGGTACTGGGATTTGAACTCAGGGGCTCACACTTGCTAGGTAGGCACTTACAACTTAAGCCATGCCTCCAGCCCTTTTTGCTTTAGTTGGGTCTTTTCATTTTCCCTCAGGCTAGCTGGACTGTGATCCTGTTACTTATGACTCCCTGGTAGCTGGAATTACAGCTGTACTACCACATCCAGCTTAGTTGTTGAGATGGAGGTCTTGCTAACTTTTTGCCCAGGCTCACCTTGAACTTCCATGTTCCTGATCTCTGCTTCCAGAGTAACGGTTACAGATGTGAGCCACCATGTCTGCCCCCCCACTCCTTTCTTTCTTTTTGGTGGGGAGATAGGATCTCACTATGTACCCCAAGCTGATCTCAAACTCCCAATTCTCCTGAGTGTCGGGATTATAGGTACGTGCACTGTACCTGGCTTAGTGATGATCTTTTCTGTTTAATCTGTTTCTTTTTCCAACAAGAAGGTTAAGTTCCATGTGGACAGAAACCTATCTGACTTTATCAATGCTGCAGCAGTGGCAAACACCACAGGCCTGGTGTATAGTAAGATCCAGCATTAACTATTTGCTGATTGTGTGAAGCTGGAACTTCCTATGCCTGTAAGCACAAAATGCTTAAGGTAAAATGCTTTAAGTAAGAGTCACAGTCAGCTTGTGGTGCCAGTAGATGTGGGGTGCTCAGTGGCATACCACCTGCAACTGGGCATAAGCATAAGCCATCCGGACTTACTGGCCTTAGTAAGACCTCAAGTCAGAGGTCTGCTGCAACTCTGGCTCCAGGGAGCACCCAACTTTACTGGGTCTCTGCACCTTCTTGAAAAGTAGTTGGGGGCTGCTATGTAAAATGGTCTGTAAAATTAATCATGCCTTCTGAGAATGGTCAAATAGTACTTTAGATGATGGGTCTTAGGTTCTGCAGCCATGTGCTTTTTGTGTGTGCATCAACATTCTGGGGGCTCTGAAGAAGAGGCAGTCTGGCTTCCAGCTGAGACTCATATCTGACCCAGGCCTGTGGGTGGGTCCCCATTCTACTGTCTGTAGGTCAGATCATGCAAACCCTCGTGCCCTGCCCTGCCCCCAGCACACCCATTCACCTGGAGGTGAGAAGCTTACCGAGGATGAATGGCCCAGCTCTCTTTGCATTATTTCCAGAAATTCCACTCCCTAGAGCCTTTGCCCTGGCTGACGTTTCCCCAGCTCCTCTGTCTGATGCTCTCCGCTTCATTCTCAGCTCTAGACAAGACAGAAAAGATCCTCTCTCACTACATAAGTCAATGACTTTCCTTGCGCTAAACCAGCCTGGGAGGCTCTGACTTGGGGATGCATTACACAGCTGCTGCTGCTGCTGTTGCCTCCTTCCCACCTGGAGGAGTGTCAGTGGTTCCTAGTGACAAATCCTTTACTCAGGATTAACTGGGTGCTAATGGGATGCCCTTGAAGGCAGCAGATACAGGCCATAGAGGGCATCCTCTATAACATCCAAAAGAGTCAAAGGGGGAGGTTTACTCTCTCTTTCCTCTCTTCTATTTTCTAATTTTTAATTCCTTTTTTTTTTTAAGATGGGGTCTTGAGAAATTGCCTACACTGGTCTTAAAACTCCTGAGCACAAGTGATTCTCTTGTCTCTGCCTCCAAATTGCTGGGATTATAGGCGTATACCACCATGCCCAGATTTAATTGCTTTTAAGGGAAAAAAAATACAATGTACACATAGGAGTTGGGTAAGAACATCTCAGGACTGTAGTTCCAGCACTTGGAAGGCTGAGGCACAAGGATCCCTTGAGCCCAGAAATTTAAGACCAACCTGAGCAACACAGCAACAACCCTATCTCAGAAAAAAAACAACCATTAGGAATCTCTGGTACTAAGATTTTCCTGCTTATCCTCATCTCCTCCAGGGTTCCAAGGAAAGGTGGACACAAGGAGCCAGATTCTAAAAGACATTCATTTCTTGATACTGATTAAAAAAACAAAGAGCTGCTTCTTCCAGTTTTCCAAAGTCAAACACCTTGGGAAAGCAGAATCCCGGCAGGGGTGAGGAAGCAGATGTGCATACAGGAAGACAGAGGTTACAGAGGTGCCAGTTCAGAAGCAGCTCAGGGAAAGCTTCCCAAAGGAGGTGGTTGGGGAATTCACACTAAGCCTTTCCTTACTCTGTCAGCCTGGAGAGGCTCCAGGGAGAGGGACCTGGGGAAGCAAAGGTACGGAACAGCACAAAAGTAACAAGTATTATGTGTTGTCGCAGTGCCCAGTGTGCAGCAGGAGTGGTAATGGGACCCAGAGATGGAAGCCTGATGGTCACACTAAGGGTGCAGCCTTCATCCTTCCTAAAGGTCTCAGAGACACAGAACCACAGCTTCCCATTAACTTCTCCTTTCATACAAAAGTAACTGCACTCACATCTGTAAATCTAGCACTTGGGAGTCTGAGGCAGGATCACGAGTTGAAGGCCAGTCTGGGCTACATAGTGAGACTGTCACAAACAAACAAAGTAATTGGCATTCTCTGTAGAAACATTAGAAAACATAGATAGGCAAAAATAAAAAAGCAAGGAACCTTAATCTCACCACCCAGATGTAACTGCTGTTACTATTCAGGCAGACTTCTTGTATGTGTGCTAATATCACATTGTTATTATTGCAAGAATTTGGACCACACTGTGATGCCATTTTATGTGCTTCCTTTTCTCCTGCCTATTATAAGGGTGGAGTTTATATTGTGGGGGAATATAGCCTAATACAGATATCAAAAAGCAGAACATGTGGCCACACACACTGGAATCCCAGCACTGGAAAGGCTCAGGCAGAAGATCATGAGTTTGAGGTCAGCTTGAGCTACATAGTGAATTCTATGCTAGCTTGAGCTACATAGCAATATTCTGTCTCAAAAAAACCCCCAAGGGCTGTAGGACGTAAGTCAATGGTAGAGCACTTGCCTGGCATGAGCAAGGCCCTAGGTTCCATCCCCAGCAGCATAAAAACTAAACATGCATGATTTAAAAAAAGAACAGAACAAAAAACCATTGTAACACCTCAACAACACTGTCCTGCTGCATCAGGTGAGGTATGTACAAATACACTGTGACAGGGCAGAACAGGTTCTGCCTGGAAGCGAGGCGGGGTGGGGGTGGGAAAAGGAAGGGGGTAGATGGTAGGGGGGAGAAATGGCCCAAACAACGTATGCACATGTGAATAAATAATGAAAAATTAAAAAAAAATACACTGTGACTTATCTGACCCCTCCCCTATTACGGAGACTAGGTTCTTTCTGTCGCTTCTGCACAGTCATCACATACAAGTATACTTCTTGGCATTCTTGTCTCTCCTCAGGGTAAATTTCAAGAAGTGGGGCTGCTGGGCCACATGAGGTGTGCATTTGAAAGCTGCCTGACATATACTGCCAGGCTGATCCTAGGAAGGCTATGCCAGCCTCATCTCACCAGCACTGTGGGAGTCACAGAAGCTGAACCAGGACTGAGTATTTCCTCACTCCTATAAATTACCAATTTGATGGCTAACAAAAGAGCATATCATTAAAAAAATTCAAAATTGTTTAAAGCTGAGCTTGTTTTACATGTTTACTGGTTGTATGAATTATTTCTTATATGAATTTCCTTCTTTATTTATTCTCCATTTTTATTGCTATGTGTACATTAGCGCTATTGTTTCTAAGAGTTCTTTATATAGTAAGGCTATAGTTGAAATAGGAAGTATTTCCTTAGACTTAGACTTAGTCTAAACATGAAAAAAGTATGAATTTCTTTGTTTTTTTTTTTTTGTGGTATTGGTGTTTTAACTCAGGGTCTACAATTTGAGTCACTCCACCAGCCCTTTTTTGTGAAGGGTTTTTTTGAGATAGCGTCTCGTGAACTATTTGCCCAGGCTGGCTAAAGGATGAATTTCTATGTAAAGATTTTTGACTGTTCCTTATTCTTTTGCTGGGAGTACTAGGGTTTGAACCCAGGGCCTCATGCTTGCTAGGCAAGTGCTTTATGACTTGAACCATGCCCCCACCCCTTTTGCTTTGGTTTATTTTTCAGATAGGGTCTCGTGCTTTTGCCTGGGGCTAGCCTCAGACCATGATTATCCTACCTCTATCTCCTGCCAACTGGGATTACAAGCATAGGCTACTATTCCTGGCTTGTTTGTTGAGATGGGGTCTTGCTAATTTTTTGCCCTCGCTGGCCTTGAACTATGATCCTCCCATCTTTGCCTCCTGAGTAGCTGGGATTGCAGGAGTGAGCCGCCACATCCTGCCCTGTCTGTTCCTTCAGTTTGTTTTGCTGACATGCTAGAAGACCTCACATACCCTGAGAACAGGTGGGTATTCACCAGGTATGTTAAATCTCCCCAGCCTGTTATTTCAGCCTTTATTCCAAACCCTAGGAGACTAATGTCAGTGAACCAGAAGTAGAAGAGATGTTCTGGTACACTTCTAGTTTAGTTTACCAGGCTTCTCTCCCCATCAACCCCCATTTGCTTTCAGAGCTGTGCCACTAGGGAGCAGAGCCACAACTTCATTCTGAGTAATGAGTCTGTGCAGCTTAGTCGGCTCAACAGTCTCCCAGATGGAGGAGAAGCCACAGTTAGGCTCAACTTTGACTTCTGCCAAAAAGGCTCATGCTGGAAGCAGATTCATACAAAAGCAGGGAAAAATGAAACTGCTCCTAGAAACATCTTCAAAAGCTGGGCAGTAATGTGTGTGGCAGTGTTTCTGCTCTTCACTTGGCTAACTTATAGAGAAGCATTCCTTGATAGCATGTGACCAATGGGTCACTAATAAGAGTCTCACTCACTGTATCTTCTAATGTCCTCCGTAGCACTTCCCACATTTTGTAATAATGTACTTGTATGTGTTTATATGCTTAATGTCTGCCCCCACCACTAGAAAAACTACCCATTGTGTACATGCATAGATGTATACAGGAAGCACTGAGCCTTGGTGTGTGACTCGGCAGGTACTCCACGAATGAATGGGTGCCTTCTCCCCAGTGGGTGATGGTTCTTACCAGGGTCAGCAGCCCCGTTCTTATCTTCAGCCGCCCACTGCCCCAGTAGTAGTTGGCATCACTACATTCTGATTCTGCTGGGTATCCTCCCTGGGTGCTGGGCCTCCTCTCTCCTGGTTCCCTGGAGAGCACCAGGGAGACGCGTCACATCTGTATAGACGCTGCCTATGCACCTACGCACAGTCTAGACAACAGTTTGTAGTGAGCAGCTGCAGCCCAGACAATGAGTGGGCTCATCCTGACCCCACCCACCCCACTTAGGATTCAACTCAAGCAAATGGCATGGGAACTGCTCCAAGATGTAGGCAGACAGAAGGATGGGAGCAGATGGGCAGGGAGAAGAAAAAGATGTAGGCAGGGAAGAGGTAGTCAGTCTACCTCCCTTCCTGAACATCCTTTTGTACTACCCAGAGTTAACTGAAGCAAAGAAACCGCGGGGAAGAGGCAGGCCTGGAAGATCAGAAGCTGAGGTGGCAGGGCTTGTTAGTGAAGCGTGTCCCTGCCTCACTCTCTAACCATCCTGATGTGTGTCCACCCAGAGACACACCTGTAGGTGGTCCACCAAAGCTCCCAGAGGGGAGGCCTGCTTTAGGGAGCCTGGCTTCAGGATCACACAACCTGTGATGATGTCGCTTTGGCTACTCTGGTCTCAGAAGGAGTTGTGACCCAGGCCCTGGCCCAGCTTGGCTCAGGTGCAGCTATTTTGTCTTGAGTTTCCTGGGCCAAAGGCTCAGCTCTCCACATCACAAGTCAGTGCCAGTAACCTTAGAATCTGCACTCAAGAGGAAGCTCAGTGAGGCAACAATGGGGGTGGGATGCCCAGAGGGAGGCACTGAAAGAGAACCCAGCTTGGCAGCCCTGCCTTCTACAGGCTGCAGCTGTGCTGAGCAATTCTGAAAGCTGGGGTTTCCATGAGCTTTGCCTAGCCTGGGGAGTGAGTTGTAGGCCTCAGCATGAAAGGGCCTCAGCTCTGGGTCAGCTCTCATAGTAGGTCTGAAAAAGAGGATGGCTAGATCCTATCCTGTCAGTTTGGGGCTCGGATCATCTTACCATAAAGCCACTAAGCAATGTGAACCCAGCTCTCCCAGCTCAGCCATGCAAGACACCAAAGGATTCTAAGGCTAAATATGGCCGGAATCCAGTGCTATAGTAATAGGGTACAGGAGAGCTGGGTGGGGTACAGCCAAGTCAGGCACTGATGGCAGCACGGTTCAGCTTTGTGGACA